CACCTAGAGTGCACCACATTGATTGCACAACCTAAGGTGCAGGGCGTATGCTGTAAGGAATCACCGTTTGGGGTCCTCGCTGGCCAACAGATGCACACATGGAAATACAAGCATACACTCATACATACATGTGTTGGCCAGCGTGGGGTCTAAACAGAGTGTTCTAGCGTATAATGTGGTGCAGCTTATGTAGTGCAAGCTACTTTGTGCAATACATGCTGGGCACCCTATGTATGTACACATATAGATAAGAATATATATATATATATATGTTTAGTGCAAGCCACGCGGAACAATACATGTGCTGCAAGCCATGTGGTGCAATCTCTATGGTGAAATTCATTTCTCTCGCAGTGAGTTGTCAACTCCACTGTTCGCGCACTCATCCCACCCATCCACCCGCAACTTGGCTTGCAAAACCCAGCGGCGATTGCGATGAGTGATTGGCGCTGGCTGGTGCAATTCTGCGGCCGCGCTAGCCCGCGCATGCTCGCGCGCGCAGCGGCCACCCAGTGCGGCGCGACCGACGCGGCCGCGGTGGCGCTGACCGCTGGGCATTTCCCAGCGGGCACTTCAGTGCGAGTCGGTGACTTGAGCGGGCGCGGTTCCAGGCGACGCCGGCAACGGTAGACACGACGATGAGAGTAGCGATGATGGTGGCGATGGTGGCGATGACGACGGCAAGGCCAATGACGAGGCTGATGTGGATCACGCCCGCCGAAAACGATGACGATGTCCTCGAAGGTTTTGGGAGGAGTTCAACATGCGAGCGCGGCCGACGCGCGCGAGTGGCCCGCGTGGTATTATTTGACACGGATCGTGCCCCCCCAGCACGAGCGCAAGGGCGTTCGGATGAGTTCGACATGCGGCGCGGGAGGTCCGTTCGGTAGAAATTCATGACAATGTTGAAAACCGATGGTTTTCGTAAAAACTCGCAGGAGCGCGGTCGCAGGATTCTTTTTTGAAAACTGATGTTACAAAACCATGTGTAGCTATATGTTTTCGGGACACTCGTCTCTGAAATCCGTACGAAACCTACGGTTTTTGAGAGAGCGCACGACGACGCGCGCGAGTGCACTTCGTCCCGTTCTTGTGCAAGGGGTTCTTGCGACAGCACGTGCGCAAGAGCGTCCGAACGATTTCGACATGCCCGCGCGAGAGGCCCATTTGGTAACATTGCACATTTTATTAATGAAACTTGGGCTTCGCTGTAGAATCTGCAAGAACGCGAGCACAGGCTTGCTTAGAAAATCTGTGTTGCGAAACCAGGTGTTGTTATATGTGTTCGTGACATTAGATTTGAAATCCTTACGCAACCAACGATGTTTAAAGGGTTTCGGCATGTGCTGGTTTTTGATAAACGAGTGTGCGCGCATAGTTGCTGTTGCAGAGGATGAGGGGGGGACACCTGCCTGCCTGGAATGGAACGATGTCGTATTTACGATGGACGATGGGGCGAAACCACATGTAAGTTGCACATCCCCGGGGGACAGGTATGTCCGGGGAGGAGGTCGACCCACATTCTTTAGAAGGGGAAGATACGTGGTGCAATATATGTGGTGTAATATTTGCGATGACATATGTGCGGTGTGAGCTACATGGGGCAGCTTATGTGATGCAAGCTCTGTGGCCCAATCTATATATTGAGCAAACCATGTGGTGCAACACACGTGGCGGATGCTGCGTGGTGCAACATAAGTGGTGCATGTTACGTGGTACAATATACGTGGCGCAACGAATACCAATACAAAAGACAACGCCATGAGACGCAAAGCAAGGCAAAGTCACGCAATGCAATGCAAAGTAACGCACGACCAGGCGTCGACGGGCGGCGACGGCGACCACGTAGCCGCCAGATCGACGGGCAGGCCCAAAGCGAGAGGGCGGCGATGGCGACTAGATAGCCGTCAGACCGACGGCCAGGCCCAGAAGACAAGCGGCGACGAGGCGGCGACGGGTCGGCGACGGCGACTCCACAGCCGCCTGACCGACGGGCAGGCCCAGTTTCTTAGAAGAGAAGTCAGAGACCCTAAGTGAAAGCACCTGTTGATGTCTGGGGGATACTTGTAAATATAGCTATACAGGCATATATATATATAGAGAGAGAGAGAGAGAGAGGAATGACAGGCGCGTGCCAAGGCTCAAACAAACACATGTACAGGATGTGTGAGCGTGGTGTGTAAGGTTTATGGTATGTGTGTTGTGTGATGTCTGTGTGCTGTGTGGTGTATATTATGTGTGTGAGCTGTGTGCGAGTCATGTGCGGTATGCGCCTTATGCGTGTTAGGTGTGATGTGGGTGTGCGTGCGTTGTATAGGTGTGTTGGTTGTGTTGTGTGGGTTGTGCGTGTTGTGTGCGTGGTGTGTGTGTGTGCGTGTGGTGCGCGTATGCGTGTGTGTGTGTGTGCATGCTCGTTGTGGGTGGTGCGTTGTGTATGTGTTGTGTGGTTTATGTGTGTGAGTGTGCGTTGTGAGTGTGGCTTGCGTGGTGCGTTCTGTGT